AATGGTACGTAGAGATGAAGCAGTCGGCATGGCAACAGTGAGCGAGGTGTCGCTTCCCCCCCTCCCCCGGGAGAAGCCAGTGGTCTGAAAGCGGTCACTGGGATATCGGGGATCGACAGGTTGGCCGCTGGTCCGAAGCGTCTGGGTGACTCCTGTATCTCAGTTTAAGCTTATTGTCTCTGCCAGCACAGGTGACGATCTAAATTTTCTTTTCATTAAAAAAAAAAAAAAAGACACCTCACCACACGTCATAGCTTCCACAGAAATATTTCACGTTGCACATCCAAGATCGAAATCTCTTAAATATTCACGTGACGGAAGCTGTGAGGGTTGCATACTGAGAATGTCTTGTTTTTTTGTGTCGTCATATAAGCATTATGTTTCGATTGGGTGCCTTAGTCAATTTATTGTCCAAAATTCACAATTAAATGTAAAGTTATGTGTAGAATAGTCATGAAATGTCATTTCGTTTTCAGAGATTTTTTTTGTGAGGTTATTGTGTGCATCCAGTCTTAGAATTACTAACCAAGTTTAGTGTATCAAAATTCACAATTAAATGTAAAGTTATGTGTAGAATAGTCATGAAATGTCATTTCGTTTTCAGAGATTTTTTTGTGAGGTTATTGTGTGCATCCAGTCTTAGAATTACTAACCAAGTTTAGTGTAGATTTTTATGATTATGAATTTAGATTTGTGTGGAAACATAAAACTAAAGAAATTCTGGTTTTGCTTTCTGAAATATTCTTCACTTGTGGATGGTGCAGTGAAAATTAAAATATTCCGATAATAGCTTTGAAAATTATTTAAATGGTTAAAGCAATAGAGAGAAACTGAATTTAAATTCTGTTAAATATAGGCTAGTCTAGACTTTCTTTTCACTAACTGGATCATTTATTTTTGTAATATTAGGTTAAGTATACAACAGGGTTTTAGTAAGATATTAAATGCGAAGTGTTTCTCTTTTTATCATAACTGGACTGTTATAGTATTTCAGTAGTTAAAGGAATACAAGAATACATTTCATTTAGATCCCTTGTAGTTGGTCATTATTTCTTACTTTTGAATTGCATATTTAGATCATGTGGTGAAGGTGACCATTGTTATTTAAATGATTACCTTACACGCTATTCATGCTATTTTCAGATCATGACTCAGCGCTGTTAGTATATCATGAACGTGTTCTGCTAGTAGTGTTTATGATAAAGAGCTCACATTTTGATTGCTATACTGGGACTGTGAATGTTATGTGTTGAGGTTTTTGGTGCTTTTGTTCCCCAAGATTGACCTGGTTAGTGTGTTATTGTGATATTGGTTATGTTTATAGAAGAACATCATTAATATATATATATTTTTTTTACTTTCTGTTGAAGCTATGATGTGGTGAGAGGTGGAGCATTTTCTTTTTTTCTCTAACTTCACTTGTGGCAGTACTAAAAGTCTTACACTGAAATTACAGGAGTCAAAAAACTGGACCTGTTGCCTGTAGTTGGTTGGAAGGGAAACAGAATGATTTGAATTTAAAATGAAGCAAACAAAAAAAAAAAGCATTATTTTCATTGTCTTGAATAGTATTTGAGTCAGGGGAAACCATTTTACTTTCGTTCCTTCATGAACCAGGAGTCCAAGTCCATTGATACTTGATCAGAACTACATAAACACCAAAAACCAGGTGATAAAAGCTGAACGGCGTGTGCTGAAGGAGCTGGGCTTCTGCGTCCACGTCAAACACCCACACAAGGTACGTCCAACGTCTCAGTTCCTGCTGTCACTGTTTTGTTTTTAGACTTTAAAGTTTTGGTAGAATGAAAACCAATAGTTTGGTTGGTTTTGTAGATTATCGTCATGTACCTGCAAGTCCTTGAATGTGAGAAGAACCAAAAGTTGGTCCAGACAGCCTGGTGAGTGAATAAACAGTCCTGCATTGGGTGTCTAGACACTATGGTGTAACCAGTAATTAACCCCTTTGCCACTGTTACGTAACTTTTCTGTCCCCTCATCTGATGGATTGGTGTATTCGTGACGTGTGTGTGTGTGTGTGTCTTCTTTTTTAAATCTCTTGTTCATGGCTGTAATTAAAAGAAAATGGAGAGCTTAGTTTAACTTTGTCCTTTCTTTCTACTCTTTGATTAAAGGGTAGTCCATGATGGTAAGTGTCATAAAGAACCTCTGAACTCTGCTCCTCCAACCACATGACCTCAGGAATCTCCCCCCATTGGCTGCCCTTCTCGAGACAGCCAATCCAGTGAGAGCTCTCTGCCCGAGAATCACTGAAGGGGGCCTTTTCCAGCTGCCAGCAGCATCTTGTTTTCTTGTGGTTGTCCAAAAGGATTTGTATTTTTGTTTTTGCTTCAAGACTCCAAATTTATCTCTCTTTCTTTTGAATTAAATTATTTGGTTTTTAAAAGGTGGTTTTAAAGCCTGAATATTTGCTTTTTATTATTAGACCTCAACTACTAGATTTAGTTGGTCTTGTTTTTTTGTTTGCTAAATGTACTCCAATTTAAAGGGTAAATCACCCAAAAATGAAAATTGTTATTCACCATGATGTCTTCTCAAACCCATATGATTTTCTTACTTTCATAGAACAGAAAAGGAGAAAAATTCACGTTGCTCATTCCCATACATTGAAAGCATATAGTGTCCAGAGGCTGTCAAGCTGTGGAAAGGGCAAGACCTAGTCCAGACTTGTTCTCTTTATTCCAAATCTTCTGAACTGAAATTCAAGATAAATCCCATCCTCTCTAATCTCATTTGTGCTACTGCATATTCAAATTTTTAAGTCTTATTTTGATATACTAAGTAAGAGATAATGTACATCCAACCGATTGTTATCGCAGAATAACCCCCTTCAGGGATGTAAGTTATCCTGCTTATAACACGGCTACTTGCCACATAAGTAAATTAGAAACAATATATTGATTTGAGTTGAAATATTTGAACGCAAAGCAGCAAATTCAAACTAGATGGACATTTAAGGGATACGGTGCAGTCAAACCACTTATTACACAACATTTCACCACATAAATAATTTTGGCAATAAAAGATTTGAGACAAAACTGTTTTAAAATCTTACCAGTTTGTTAGTTATCTTATAATAACAGCGTACAAAACAATTGTGGCGAAATGGCAGCAGCTGTGTTTGTATGAAACGAGAGAGCGAGTCCACGATACCAGGATGACATAATGAAATAATTGTACACATAATATTGAATAGATTCAATATTTTATTACCTAAACAAATGCAAAGCTTCCACCAAGAAAAACTGTTCCTAGTAAGCTTATAGCGCCGACTTCAGTTACCCGGATGAGCCCGTGTTATTAGCTTTTACCGCTTGTAAACATACCTCGGAATGTTGCGACTAGGGCTGCACGATAAATCGAAATGGAATCGAGATCGCGATTCGACAGAAGCTGCGATTGTCATGCGTATCTTTCAGTGAAGCACGGTTCTGTGATCAGCAGTAAATCTCCATCCAAAGGCCAGAGGGCGCTCTCGCGCTGAAACTCCAAATACGCCTCGCAGAAGAAACCGCTGCAGCTGAATAAACAGAAGATTCAACTGCTTTCATTGATTCAACGTAACTAATAAACACACGACTACGGCAATACCCGGTTTATCTGAGTTCTTATTATAATTTTCATTAAAATAAAGTATATTTATAATGCAATGCCTTTATCACTGCCTAAATACTATGAAATATGTTGCGTGCCTTATTCTGTGTAAGTCGCCACATCATCTCACTGAAGGATTTATTTCAAACACTCGACTGACGTTATGAAGTGCGTTTGGAGTAAAAATGTGTTATTAAATGTGGTATTTTCACATGCTTTCAGATGGAGCAGCATTTACTTCACAGAGCCGTAGTTCACTGAGAAGCTATGCAAACAGCTGTCATTATCGTGAACGATTTCTTCGGTTTCAGAATCGCGCAATAAAATCGTCTGCAAATTTTTTTTTGCGTAACTTGTCAGTGAACTACGGCTATGTGTAGTAAATCCTGCTCCATCTGAAAGCACGTGATGCTGATTACAGAACCGGCATTACTATCAAAATGCGCATGACAATCACATTCGATTAATCATGCAGCCCTAGTTGCGACTGACCAATCAGAATCAAGTATTCCTCAGAGCCGTGTAATAAGTTTGCATAACTGAACATACATGTTTAACCAAATGATATAACAACTTTACACTCAAAGCTATTATATGGCTTCAGAAGACTTTTCATGGGTTTATATTACTTTTGGTCTCTGCTCACCATATGCATCCATTGTATGTATCTTGATCTTGTTAAATATTTCTCCTTTTTGTGTTCAACTGAGGAAAGTTCCATAGGTTTAGAATGACATGATGGTGAGTAATGACAGTTTTAATTTTTGTGAACCATTCCTTTAAAAATGCAGTTATCACAATCATTTGCTGTGAGGCGTTGTGTCTTACTGGAACTCTCACCTCTTCAGTCTATGCTTGAATGACTTGTTTGAAGCTCAGCTTTTCCATATAAATCCAATGTTCTAAGGCCTGCAGCATAAAATCTACAGTGTTTCTATTCCAGCATAATGCACATCAATCTAGTATTTCCCAAATTTTTCATAATGACACAGAGCGTTTCAGGTCCACAGTGTCCATTTGGCTGTTTGCTGCTTTTTTTTAGAGCAAGCTTTGCATCCCATATCTGTTTGTCATTCAGAATTGAAGTTAAAGATTTTTGCTGTCTGCAAGTCTACACTTCAGGAGATGTATGTTTCATTCCCAGAGCAGCTGCTCTCAGTCATGCATTTTGTTTAGTGTTATGAGTTGCATGCAGTCATCAGTGCTACATGCCCATTGCGTAAAAATTCACGATTCGCTCCATTTTATACTCTCATCTGCTTATTTTATAGAAAATTAAGCTATTATTTCAAAAGTTTTGTAGGAATTGAATTGTAGTCATTTGTCGCATGCAAACCAGTGGAACCAGTTGTATTTTTGACAAACCTCCCCCCATGGTCTTGTCTGTGTGCACATATGTGCCCGTCCACACTGCATGCTTGCCTTTACACTTTTGTAGAACAAAAGAGGAACGTGAGGCAGAGAGGGAAAGGACAATGTTAAACTCAAGCCTCCATTTATATTTGGTCTTTTTTTTTGGCATCATGTGACAAACCTCGTACATAAAGGTGACGTTATAGATGATCAACCCATGCAGGGAAGTGGCAATTTTGTGGTTCACCTTCTGTGTTGCAGGAATTACATGAATGACAGCCTTCGCACTAATGTGTTTGTGAGATTTCAAGCTGAGACCATCGCCTGTGCCTGCATTTACCTCGCTGCACGAGTGCTACAGGTACAAAACCATTCTCTGTCCTCCTCCTCCACCTGTGTTTACTCTGAGCTCTGGTTTTAACGGCTGTCTATTCTCATCATTTTTCTCTCAGCTAACGTTACCCTCTCGGCCGAACTGGTACCTGCTGTTTGGTGCTACGGAGGAGGAGATCAAAGATATATGTGTAACCACTTTGAAGTTGTACACCAGAAAAAAGGTTAGATAGGTTTCACCTCACTCCCTTTTTAGAGTTAGCAGGTCTTCATTTGTGTTCTATCGAGTATGATTTGTGTCTTCTTTGTTTTTTAGCCAAATTATGAATTGCTAGAGAAGGAAGTGGACAAGCGGAAGGTGGCTCTACAGGAAGCAAAACTGAAGGCCAAAGGACTGAATCCAGATTGCACACCTGCTCTTTCCACATTGGGTGGATTCTCTCCTGGATCCAAACCATGTAAGTTGTCACTTCCACTGCTCTATTGTGCAGTCTAACCTTTTTTTTTTTTTTTAAAGCTAAAACCATCTTGCTCTTTTTGCCTTGGCTTTACTTTTAAGCATTGTTTACCCTTGTAGTTCCAAAGATATAACTTTTTTTTTTCTTCTGTGACACAAAAGAAGTATGGTCCAGGCTGCTCTTTCTGTACAATTAATGAAAAGCCCAAAGTTGTTACGCATACACTAGGGCAGGGTTTCTCAACCTTTTGCCTACTGCGACCCACTTTTTTATGTATGCCAGTCATACGACCCACTAAGGCTGGAAATAAATAAATAACTGAAATGCCTCTTTAGACCTAGGCTACACCGTATATGCTTATTATAATTAATTTCACAAAAACGTTCAATAATTAGACAGACTGAGGCAAACTGATTTATTTATTTAATTGTATTTATTTATTAACTCACGTTAATGAGACATTTGAGACTGCCGCTCTGAAATGATGATATTCAGATGCGGTGGAATTCGGGAAAGGGTGAATCCAGTGAATCCATATTTAACATAGTCTGGGTTGTACTTGCGTTGTTTACATTTTGCTGCCTTTGAAGTGGAAGGAGTTTCTGAATCTTCTGCCTTTTTTTTTTTTTTTTAAACGGATGCATTTTGTCAAGCTAACAGGCCGTGGCTGTGTATAGTAGGTCTGGCATAGCAATGCATTGCAATCTCCTGCGCCGTCGTTACCAAGCAACGGGGTAAACAGCTGCTAGCGTGTGTAACTTTACGTAAAGAGCGTAGGACCTTGTCCAATAAGAGACGTTCGCGGCAGCGATAAATTGTTGTGATAGGACAGTTTAGAAACAGCGTTAGAAAGTTACGGCAATAATGATTCAACATGCGACATTCGAAAATACGATTCGTTGGAGGTCACTGTTTCAATGAGCCTTTTGTGAAGTGCACTTACTGTGCCGGTGTAACACCGAGAACACAGAGAAAGTCTCACGACCCCCTACGGAATGATCCTCGACCCACTAGTGGGTCGCGACCCACTGGTTGAGAAACACTGCACTAGGGTATGCGTTTAGTGTGTGTTCCTCCATAAAGCTATTCTGTGGTTTCAGAAGACTTGAAATATAGCACAGGAATAATGTGGACTGTTTTAATACCACTTTTTTTTTATTTTTTTTTATTTATTGTTGAAGCTTGACTTATGGAAAAAAGCAGCAGAAACATTCTGCTAAACTTCTCCTTATGAAACAGTCATAAAATTAGATTCCCCCCCCCCCCTGCCAGGTTCACCTAATATAATGAAAGCAGATGAGAAGTCTCCTAACCCTCAAATGCTTAAGGCCATGAAGAAAGAACCAGAAGATCGGCCTCAGGGTTCTAAGAGCCCACACAACGGGTGAGTGTTCGACAGGATTGACTTTCAACAAGTATTTGTGTTTTGTTTAATTAAAGCGCACTAATTAAGTATCTTCCTTGTCCTTTCCTCAGACTCAGGAAAGATAGTAAGTTAGGTCGGAACAGTAGAAGTGCGAGTCGTTCCAGAACGAGGTCCAGATCGCGCTCTCCCAGACGACAGTAAGTACCACTTGCAGTGCACTGCTGTCTGCTCTGTGATGTTGGTGTCTATACTCAACTGCTGTTTTGTTTTTTTGTAGTTACAATAACAGGCGCAGTCACTCGGGCACCTACAGCTCTCGCTCCCGGAGCCGCTCTCACAGCCCATCTCCACGACGACACGCGAACCACGGCCCTCCGTCTCCGCTCCTGCCACACTTGAAGTCAAAGCAGCGCTCAGACGACCTACACCAGCACAGCAGACACGGCCACAAGAGGAAACGCTCACGCAGCCGCTCTCGTTCCACCAGCAAGCCCCTTGAGCGGGAAAGAGAGCGAGAGAGAGAGCGGGATCGAGGTTCTTCGGACTTGGCGAAGAAGCACAAGCGCGAGCATAGCAGCGGAGGCCATCACCGCGACCGGCGGGAACGCTCACGTTCGTACGAACGCTCTCATAAAAGCAAACACCACAGCAGCAGCCATTCGAGCCACAGTCGTCACAGGCGCTGAGTGTTTTCCTGTTGCGTCACGTCTGTAAGACCGAGCGAGTTTGTGTTTGATTAAAGTGGTCAGTGTTGACCTAGTTGTCTGTTTAACTTTTTTTGATTTCTCTTGTGTTATTTTGCCATTTTAGTTTTAAATGTTGAAAGGATATGAAACTATATATTTACAGTGTAAAGATGGGTTCAATGTTGATGTAATATGGGAAATGCTTTGATTTATAAAAGCAACCTGTTTCAGAAGGTGGGAAAATCACTAGTTGCGTAGAAAAATGGGAAATGTTTTCAGGAAGGACACCGATACTTTGCACAGTTATAGAAAATAAGTAATAAAGATGCTCTACTGGCGGAAGAAAGTTGGTTTCTCTGAAAATAGATCATATTTTTTTACAACTAAATGCAGACTTTTTTTTTTTTTTTGGGATCATGGTGACTTTGTTACACTGGTTTTTAGTCTGCACCTCTTCATGTCTGATTTTTACTCAATAAAAAGTGACTTATTCCTACTGTCATTTGTTGGTTTTTACTTTATGGAACTTGGGTTTATGAATTGAAAATAAGTTCTTGCTCCCCGACATTAAAATCCTTGATTAGGACACAAGCTGTTATCACAAAAAATCACAACAGTAGAAACTTCATATCTGGAACCGTGGTATTAAAAAGTTTGATTAATTCTAGAGCAGTTTTTCTCAACTGGTGAGTGTACGGTCAAAGAAACCACAACAAACACATAATTCTAAATGTTTGTAACTTGTTAGTAATGTGTATTCAGCATGGCAACTGTTGTTTCCATAACCCAAAAATGCCATGTTATTTTCACTTTGTTATTTTGTATATGTTTAAATTACTATGGTGGCTCATACCAACTTAATTGTATTAACAAAAGCTAGTTTGGGACTGCTATTTAATTGCCTTACTTCATAAGCTGGTTATTATTAATCAGTATTAGTCATAAGGGGGACGGTACTTGTGTATCAACCATTTTTGTGAAATAAATATGCTGTTTTTGTTTAAACAAATATATTGAGAACCACTGTTCTAGAGAAACGCTTCCATCTTAAATGGTTCTCTCTCTTTTATGTAGACTTGGAACATGTCTTTCTTTCATGTAAATGAACAGAAAAAACAAACACCCAGTGGCGTTGCTTCAGTAGGATTTCTGGGCCATTTGTACAGCTTTTTTTACATCAGGCTCTTTCATAATTCGCTCAGTGTGTTTTCTGTGGGCAGCGTCCTGAAGACAGTATGGTGGTTGTCTTTCCTTTTGAATTAATCAGGGTTTAAAAACGATTTATTGAATGCTTAAATATTTCACTCATTGTCGTCACCTAGTGAGGTAAAGAGTCATTGGAAAAAATACCCAGGCCTGTTCACTTTACTTTACTTTAAGGCTGTTAATGCGTCTGTAAGACTATGGAAGGCCAAAAGGGCCAAAACACGTGAATTTTTGGCCATTTTGGCGTTCCATAGTCGTCAATGCAACGCTTTTATCTTATACAGAGAGGCGCTCTGATGCACGTGAACTCAGACAGGCGATAGGAGCTTTTATTTTGACATGCTGTATATCGTCCTTGAATTTCTGGGTAGAGTTAGAGCAGGGCTTCCGCGAGCGGACTGTGCGGGATGGAAACGCGGTGTTTATGTCTTTTACTGGTCTGTGTGCTGTCACTGAATCACGCCACAGCCGACAATGGCAGCGTTAAAAAGATGAAAATGCAATATACAGGAATGCCACTGCTGAAGTTTCAGATTTGGTGAGTAAACGGAATATATTTCTGTTTCCTGTCGGTGCGCGTGCTGATCAGTGTCATGTGTCGATAAAGCAACTGAATTGTTGACTGAAATATTTATATATATTGACAGTATCAGAGACTCTGTGAATAAGAAAGCTGTAAGAACTTTGAAAGTTTGTGAACTTTGCAATATATTTATTTGATTTTATATATATATATATATGTGTATATCTTGTATTTTTGTTTTGAAGTTTTATACTTTCCTCCCCCTGGCAATTGTTTTTTGTTTGTTGTAATTTGTCCTTCTATCTTTTTCTTTTCTCATTTTAATGTTGTTTTATTGTGTGTTATTGTTCCTTGAATTAAAAAAAAAAATAAAGCAACTGAATTAATCTAAACGGACATTTATTGTGTACGTTCAGTCAGGTGGTTTATGCATATTTGCATATTGCATATTGCATATTCTCTATCTAGCCGAGCACACTGGCCTAAGCATCAGTGCGCTAGAATCATAATACCATGAGTAACTACCTTTTTATAGCATAATATATGTAGTGTTTTATAACGTTTACTGAATTTATATTATTTAGGATACTAGTAGTATGTAAATATAATCGTATACAAGTATAGTTTTTTTGCATTTGCAAAATGTCTTATTGTAAAAACTTGCTATAACAACTTGCAGTTTGTTGTGTAATAAGATTTTTTGATTTTCTAGTGTATTACTTGTCAGTCAAATCTATTTGCAGTGTATCCTGAGGGTACAGGCGGGTGTTTGAAGAGTACTCTCGGGTTCTCACCCAGAGGTACCCAGACATCCGCATCGAGGGAGAAAACTTCCTGCCACAGCCTATATACAGGTGTGTTTCTCATGCATTTCTCATTTCATCAATACCTTTTGTATTGCAGACCATACAGATTTATGGACAGCTCTTATTAAAACAGTAGTGATTTTAACTCATAAACTGAAACTGAAATGTCTTTTTATTTATTTTTAGGCACACCGCTTCGTTCCTCTCGGTCTTCAAACTTGCATTGATTGGTTTAATTATCTTGGGAAAAGACCCTTTTACATTTTTCCACATGGAGACTCCAGGAATCTGGCGTTGGGCACAAGAGAATAAGGTCAGCGTAGTGTATACATGCTACTTTTAAAAAATGTCACATAATATTCACAGTGGGTCATTCACATATAATTGTGAAGTTGTGGGATTTTTCTGCCTCTGTTTTTGATATCACTCCTTTTAATCTTTTTTTTTTTTCATTCCCAGAGAGGATATGTAAATTGTATAAATAAATAAATTGTCAAAAATGTAATTTATTTAAATCAGTTTATTTTCTTCATTTGTTTCACTTTATTTCTATATTGTTTAAATTTCTACCTAAATTTCAGTGATCAAGTTCAAATATCCGTCCTCTGTTTATATATATATATATATATATATATATATATATATA